ATTATCATCATCACCAATATCTCTCCATCATCATCATCATCATCATCATCCTCTTCTCAATATCATCATCACCACCATCACTATCCCTATTAGTTTCATCATCAATTCATTAGATGCATGCACTAGGCATTATTACTTACAATTTTCCCATTCCATATGGCTGTGTTTGTGTTTATCCATTGTAAATGTATCACAAAATGCCACAGTAAAACAATTGTCTTCCTTTTGCTCTTATATTACTCAACATTATATTCATTATTCATCAACAATAACAGTAAACTTGCTTAGGTATTATTTACAATCACAAAAACACTGAGAACTCAATCAGCATAATACAAACAACATGGTGGATACATCAACTGTATATATAGATGCTATCAAGGGGGATATTCAACCCTGTAAGGAGATCGCAAATCATCAGATATTGTGGCATATGTAAAGAGATGTAAACATAGACTCCTCACAGTGTTTTTGCCAATGACTGAGATTGTAATCACAGCCAATGGAAATGAAGTCTGGCATCTGTCCTGCCATACATTGGAAATCCTCCACTACATTATGGTGTGTTGGTAGATCCAAAATAGCTTGCCTTGCATTCTCACTAAGTGCTGTGCCATCGTTAGACAAAACTTACTTGAAATCAGATCCAGCAGCTGAAAAGAAATTGCTTTGTCGGTACCAATGTTTGTTTGACTGGTAGCCATGTGTGTATACATGTTAATGATACTTGTCATCTTCAGTGATACACATTATGTGTGGCAAGTTGGTTTTGATATTTCACTTAATTGTAGATGGCATAATAAGCAAGATTAGTCATAAATAATGCTTATTCATAGTTTTAGTATACATAAAGCTCTTTAGGCAAGACCAACATAATTCTGTGTTTTACAAACTGTCCTTGCCAACATTCCAAGATGCAGGGAAAATATATTTAAAATGTTTTCAAAATTTTCTTTGAGGTTAATATTCAGAAAGGAATAAATGGAAATAAGCAGATAAATTACAAATGAAAAAAAAATATATTTATGACAACATACTTCTTTATTGTGACTTTTGCCAAATTTGTGGTTGGCTTGTTCATAAAACAACAAATTAATTGTGTTATTTTTCTCTTTTGAATGGGTAGTCTTAGACTAACGCTTAGTCCCTGAATATATATAATTTTGATAGTAACAAATGAACCCATTTAGATTGAAAAGGAGCCCCAGTGAGTTGGGAGATTCACCTGAACCTGGGGAAATCTAGACTTGCTTCATTTAGGGCTTTAGCATTGCAGGGAGTGCTAGGCAGTAGGGAAAATAATGTGGTTCAGGGACTTTGAGACAGACTACTATAGTCTACATTGTAGGTTTTCTAGATTTCCAGTCAGTGTCAATAATGATGGCAGATTGTGTGGGAAACAATTAATAGTTATCGTTAATTGGTGTTTGTCTATACAGGCTGTCATTTGCAGCTACTCCGGAATGTTTATACTGCTAATGACACCTATTAATTTGTGTATGTTTCATGATTAAAGTACCAGTGAAGGAATAAGTGACTGTCAAACAAGACATTGAAATATCCATCTATATATGTCTCAGAAATCTCCACCCATTCATTCTTCTGTCTATCCTATAATCCATGCATCTAGCAATCTATCCATCTGTCTGTCCATACACTTAACCAATCATTCATCCGATTAACCATCCCACGTCCATCCAAGTATAACAGATTTAATGGCCAAGAAGGTAATTCTATCACAAAACAATTCCTTTTCATGTTAATCATTTCTGTTCTTTTCTGATTACCACACACTGTTTGCACAACAAAGAACTTTAAAATTCATACTTTTATTCTATCAAAACTTTTAGATCGAACTTTGTCCACAGAAATCTCCTCTCCAATCTTAGCAATTCTAACATGACACAAGCAGGAAGGGTTAATTAATTTCCCTTACCCTTTGGCATTTGAAACTGTAAGGGTTAATGAGTATTACGCACTCGTCATCAATCATGGCTGGTCAACCATGTGTCTGAGCCAGCACTCACAATGTTGTACTGTTGGTGTGATTCATCACCTGTCGGTACCGATTTCCATACCACTTTACTTACATCGTAATTGTACTGATTCCCATACAACTACTTACATCCACTTGGCAGCAGTACTGCTTCCCACTCCACTGCTGTCATCAAAATTGCAGCTGTACTGCTTCCCCAACAACTACTTGTATTGACATTGATACAGTGCTGCCTTCCACAACACTGCTGTCATTGTAGCACCTGACATGATACCTTTCTCATCTTGCAAATAAGATACATTTGTCTGATTTGGTATGTTATGATTATAGTTGTAGGCATTCAGTCATTCAGTCAGTGATATGAATGAGTGAGTGAGTTTAGTTCCTGTGCCACTTTTAGCAATATTTCAGCAATTACATGATGGGGGACACCGGGTGTTTGGCATGACAAGTGAACACTTTAACCACAAGGCTACCCCACCACCCATTTGTTATATGAAGTGAACAGGTACTGAAGCTCAACTTCCAATATATTTTACGTCTTATCATTTTCATTTTCTCTTTATTCCCAGTTGTATTTAATTTTTTGTCAAAAGAATTGTGCAAAATCACTTGGTTTTACCATTGGTGATATTGATGTTCTGTCCTATGATGTAAATCATTTTCACTTAATTTAAACAATCACTATTCATTAAGAGATGAAAAGGTTATTTGTACTGCCATTATCAACAAGAATCTAATTAGATAACACATGTTTTAGAAACCTCCCACAAAGCAGCAAAGGAATGTTTTTCCAGCATTCTAGACAAACTTAGTCAGATTTCCAGTTATCAAAATTCCAGTCCACAAGACATTAAGCATAACTTGTTCGTTTACATCTGCTGATAATGACCTGGGAGTCATTTGTAGCCTCGTCTGCATTTATCAGCTGATGATGGAAAACATCTCATAACACCTGTCTTGTATAACTGTATGTTGGCAGTATCATCCATATCAACCTACATGATATGGAGGAACATGTTTGGTCTGTTGTAAGCTTCATGGACTAACGAAGCCTGCATATATACATGATCATGTGATTAATGGCAAACCGGAAGACAAAAGCAGTCGTTATTATCACTCAAAGATCTGCATGACGCCATGTAAATGTTGATATTCCATCTAACCCAGGTGGAAATGTCTTTCTTGGGTCATAATGACCGAAACAGCTTAAAACAAGTTGTGAGGAAAGTATTTCATGTCTAAGCACCATCTATCTTCAGATGCTGAAAAGTGTTTCCCTAAAGAGAATTTAAAGACTTTTTTGTGAGACACGTGAAATACATTATGTTTTGTTGCACCTTTCCAGTGCACGTAGAGAACCCAAAATACAATGTGGAATGTGCATGCAGTGCTATGTTGTTACATTCAAATTTGGACACCTTTTCTATCCATGGTATTTCTGAGAAAATGCATATAGATTTTATGCAGCTGCTTTCCTAATAACTGATATCAAATGGTGAAACCACATAAATTGTTGCACATTATGACAAGGAAGTGATAATGGGCATGCCTTAAATATTTTTTATAAGACACTATTATCAATGCACACATAAAAACAACTTGCAGCTTATATATAGGCAACAAGTGTATAATTTATAAAAGTTTTCAGAGTTTCAGTTTCAAGTGATGTTGGTAGTCAAAGTAGGGAAAGATCATTATTTTATTGCATTCTCATTTCTCCAGCTCCATAGTGTTCTTAAGTTGCATTCAATGCAATTGCGTAAAACTAAGTAAAAAGTAACAAGGGAATACCATTACTGCTCCTGTTATCAGTGTAATTCAAGTCGGCTCTTGGCAGAGTTGTAACATTACTTGAAAATTATGAGTTGGAAAACTTTTATTTCCTGTCTGAGAATGTTTACTGAAACGTGATGTAGATCTTGGGGAAAATATCAGCCTCGGAGCAGGTCTAGATAAATCTCTGTATATTTTGTGTGTGTTCCTTTTACTTGCACATTGGTTGTGCTACTTTGTTTAACACCTGTTGACTTCAGCAGACCTGGGGCTCCTTTCATGAAGCAACCTTTACTAAGGTTAACCTTAACTCCCATTCTATAACATTGCACCAAGGTTACCTTAGTGACTTATGATCACCTTAGTGCTTTGTGAAAGGAGGCCCTGGTCACCAGTACTGAGATGATTCTGATTGCAGTTAGCTTAGTGAGTGAGTGAGTTAAGTAATTACGCCACTTTTAGCAATATTCTAGCAATATAATGGCAGGGAACAACAGAAGTGGGTTTCACATATTGTACCCATGCGGGGAATCAAACCCAGGTCTTCGGCATGAAAGCGAACACTTTAACCTCTAGGCTACCCCACCGCCCCTGAGCTTCAAACCCAACAATGTGTGATCTGATTCAGCATCCCTCGTACAGCTGTGGGGTAGCCTAGTGGTTAAAGCGTTGGCTCGTCACGCCGAAGACCCGGGTTCGAATCCCCACATGGGTACAATGTGTGAAGCCCATTTCTGGTGTCCCCCACCGTGATGTTGCTGGAATATTGCTAAAAGCGGCGTAAAACCAAACTCAGTCAGTCAGTCGTACAGCTGTAATACTGCTGAATGTAGCGTCAAACAAACAAATACTCTTCATATTGTCAGCATTCTTCAACTTTGGTTTTGGCAGAGGTTTCTCACAGATGTGAAAAGGGTTTCATCATTTCTATTTGCATGACATCAACTACTGGTAAAGCTGAACCATTTTTTATTTCCATTTACAGGCTCTTGTGGGTAGGTGAAATGCTGCTGGAATATAAACAACGATAGCATTGTTTCTTTTGTACAATTAATTATACATGTTGTTCTTGTGTTTTGCAGGAGACCTTACTTGGGATTCCATGGCTCTTGTGTTAAGATGAAATGCTGCAGGAATATTGTTGATTGGTGTAAAACAATGATAGCATTGTTTCTTTTGTACAATTAATTATATCGTGTTCTTATATGTTTTGATCTTATGTTTGCAGGCGACATTGCCCGCCATCAGATCGAGTATGTGTTGATCCCCGGAGTGAATGCTACTTCAGACAGTTTCTTCTTCAAGATTGAAGACAGGGGTAAGTTGCGATTTGTTTTACAGAAGAAAAAATCCAAGAAGACTACACATAATGCTTGCAAGCCTAATATTGGGCTAATATACACTTTAAAATATACAGTGTAGTTCCCAAGCACATATCACGTCAAGAAAACAAATAATGTCAGCATTTGATTTCAGCGTTAATAACAAAATTCCTGATAAAATTTGAAAGATTGCTTTGACAACATTTACTTTGCACAAACACAAATATATTCATACACCCATGAGGCACATGAACTAAACAGTATTTGACCGAGAAACAAATGTTTTCATTTTTCAGCCTTACAGAAATGGGTTTTGATTGCCATGTGCTCTACAGACATTTTGTAAAGAAAATATATTCTATTTTCTGTCCTTTGTATATGGTTCGCATGTTTCAGTACTCTCAGGTTTCTGATGAAAACACATGTATAAATGTGAAGAGCTTGGTTATGGAAAACATCCTTCTCAATTTACTTCAGACATCATGAAATGTCATGCGAGTGTTTTAACATGCACATGAAAGATCTGGATCTACGTCCAGTATTGTGTAGCATCTGACATTAATATCCCAGTTTGCCCCATTATACAGTAGACTGGTGTATGAGAGATACCAAACTACTGCCAGAACCCACACATTCATCCTGTCCATTCAGCCCATCTATTAATCAGTCATAGTCACATTCGATGTCCTCACTGGTCAGGACTACATCTTCACGAATGTCTAAAATTACTTCAATTAATTCACCATCTGTCACTGGTCCAGAGAAACAAAGCATTCAACAAAACGGTCAATTTTGGCCGATAAGACAACGACCTCAAGTTGGCAAGGCTTCTTGTAAGATTTTTACAGCCACAAAAATAGTACGTCTTTGTTCGTTGGGTAACTGCCACTTGCTGTTGTGAAGCTGGCTTGCACATCTTGACACCCTGACAAGAGATGCTGATCCTACACGATCCGCTTGCATCAGGAATAGTTGTAATGAGAATCACAAATCTCCATCAGTACAACTTTCAGCCACCTAATGATGCCGTGACTTATCGAGGAACTAGAGTTTTCATATTCTAGGAGCTTGTTATGATAGTTTCTCTGTAAGACCCACACATATATGTATCTGTAATATATAAAATAAAACCTTATTCACCATTTCAACCTTATCCCTAGACTTGCACAAGACTCTAAGGTAATAATTAATAGTTTAAATGATAATTAAAATATATATATATATGTGTCCCTCTAACAGACTGGCATCCTTAGAGTAGACTTATCCAGACTTTCGTCTTTATAGGATAGAATTGCAATACATCCATGGGCTTAGCATTCAGTACAACCTTGGAGCAAGGCTACCTTATCCCTTCCCAGCTTGATAACCTGTACTCTTCCTATCCTTACAGGCCTACAGAAAACTTTCCCACTGTGCAGAAGAACGCAGAAAAGCCCACATTAATCGTGGAAATAGCAACATAAACATAATACCTCGCTACTGAAACAGTAAAAACGGCAACTTTAAATCGCTAAAACTGCATAAAAAACCGAAGAGCCTGCAACTTTCGATTTTGCGCATGCGCACATGGAAGAGGAAGTCTCGACCGCATGTTGACATTTTCCAGCTTGGACAAAAGTTACATTCCCTTTTTAAGTATTTCTGTTGTGTTATTTGGCATTTATCATCATGATACTTGTGTGCACACTTGTTTAGTTTAATTTCCATTTGTATGAAATGATTGACAGCAATTATTTTGACATATTTAATACTTTTTTACGCAAGGCAATTCACGGTTGCTCGGAAATTGGAAAGAAGCGCGGATCATAATGCGCATGTGCAGTAGAGGTCAAAGTTCGCTGATATATAATAGTTGCAGTTTCATTGTTTTTCGTTGCCGTTTTTACTGTGTCAGTAGCGAGGTATTATGTTTATGTTGCTATTTCCACGATTAATGTGGGCTTTTCTGCGTTTTTCTGCACAGTGGGAAAGTTTTCTTTGGTAGGCCTGCCTTAGCTCCAGGAGAATTCAGGGTTCTCAGTACTCAAGGTGTTCTGTCTCACAGTCCCTGAACCACATTATTTTCCCTACTGCCAAGCCCTCTCTGCAGTGCTAAACCCCTAAATAAAGCAAGTCTAGATTTCCTCAGGTTCACAGATGAAAGCAGATTCAATTTGTCCTTCCATGATGGTCAACAGAGGATTTATCGTCGCAATGGAGAGCGAATCGCTGATGCAACTGTGGCCACCATGGGTCGGTCATGGTTTGGGCAGGGATAACTCTAGTCTGTCTCACAGTCCCTGAACCACATTATTTTCATTACTGCCAAGCCCACTCTGCAGTGCTAAAGCCTTAAATAAAGCAAGTCTAGATTTTCTCAGGTTCAGGAATCTCCCTGGGCTCCTTTTCAGTTTAAATGCGCTTGTTTGTTACTATCAAAATTATATACATTCAGAGACTAAGCATTAGTCTATACTCAAGGATCCCCTAGTGGTTGCAGGAGTCAAGTGTTAGATGGACGGGTTGTTGCTTTGCATAAACATCAAAGTTACTGTCAAATGAAATATGACAGAAATGTTCATGCATCAAATTCACAGAAATCTCAGCAAATGGTATTCTTTTATATGGATGTCTTCTAAAAATTATTCATTTTCAGAACTGATGTTACTTAATTTCACTTTAGAATATCACATCAAAATTTAATGTACAGTTTACCTCCCCTTTCTGTGAGTTCATTGGAATATGAACCATAATGGAGTGATGGCCAAACTGTCTGAATGTCACAACTTGAGATTATGTTCATACAATGTTTGAATAATGATTGTGGCTTTTTGATAAATAATTGCACGTTAAAAAGCACAGTAAATAAAAACTCCCCTTGCTGTCTTCAGTTTAGAAAGCGCATATGAATTTTGAACTTCCAACAAAATTCCCTCGTCCGACTGGTGCAGGCCATTGGTCAGTACTGTTGTGAGAGTGGTCATAGTGTTGGCCGTAAATCACCCATGTCCTCATGGCATCAGACAACAAAGGTTGTCGTAAGGATAGCATTACTGCCACAGATGTTATACAAATAGCTGGATGGAAAACACTACTTGGAACAAAAAGGAAATTCCAGGACAAATGACCAAAGCATGTACAAGGCTGGTATGTTGGTCAAAAGTGGCCGTTGACATCCTAATTTGTTGTCCTCTGACAGGACTGGAATGTCGTGACCCTGTACAGGCCATGTCATGGCCATTTTGAAAAGGGGGAAGTTTGCTTGTCCATGAGAAGTGTGTCAATGGGTCATTCGTTCACCTACTCCAGCTTTGAGATTTGTTTGTTGAGATTACTTTTAATTTCTTTAGGATGATTATGAAATGATCATTTTAGAATAGAACAAACAGGATATCCCTCAACCTGAATCCTGCTGCAAGAAGTAGATTTTCCATTTTTCCATGTTTCCATGTATGGTTGTTTTTGCTTCTGAAAATTTGTCTTTTCTGTTTGTTAACGCCACAGTCAGCAATATTGCAGCTATATAATGTCAGTCTGTAAATTACTCAGGTGTAGACAAGGTTGACATGAGGATCTATCCTCACAACTGGGACACAGAGACATCCATCAACCAAGTCAGTGAATCTGACCACCCAATCCCGTTAGTCACCTCTTACAACATGTATGGGTTGCTGGAAATATATCCAAGAAAGCCCACGCAAGTCTAGAAAATGTGGCAAGTCTAGATTTCCTCAGCTTCTGAAAATGAAGAAAGTCTCAGGGCTCCTTTTCATTATATTTTTTTTTTTACTATGAACTTTTTTTCTGTAAAATATGTTCATTTCAGAGACTAGTTGTTAGTCTAACCAATTCTAACCAGGGCCTAGATTTTCGAAGCTGTCTTAGCGCTTAGAGAGTCGTAAGTGCCATACTTTAACATTACCTTACGACTGTCTTAGCACTAAGAGAGCTTCGAAACTCAAGGCCCTGGATCTTTATGGGTTCCTGAAAAAACTTGTGCTTGAATATTGGCCAATATCTGTGGTGCTACCATCAAAAGGTAGAATCATTGAGTGGAGCTGCTGAGAAACAGGAAAATTGGATTTCCTATGGGTAAAAGTAATTCTTTGCACTCATTAAATTAGTACTGAATGTGTTTCATTCCATCCCACATAGTTCCTCCAAATATGTTGGTTAATTCAGCATGGTCTGGGAGAAAGGCAATGCTCACATGTGCTGAACTAAAAGGTCAATGAGTCCAGGAACTCTCACTGATCAGTCAGAACAATGACAGTTCTGGTAACACCTTCAGCCGGTTGCTATGTCGACCATTAATGTGCAGATTCCGGCATAACATATGTGGCTGGGTATGTGATGTTGCACTTAGTGTAACATTGTGTCAAGTCCAATGTTGCGGAGACTCTCTGACTATCTACACCATCGGCAGCAGCATCAAAGACATCCCAGACTACAGTTCCAATGATCTCATCGTCTGTAACGTTTTTGGCGTTATCAAAGACATCTAATTCAGTGATTGGTTGTTTTGGTACTTGGTACTGATGAGACAAAACTCATTGGGCTGTGATATGTCTTTGGTCCGACATTGGAATTTCTTCTTGGTTGGTACAAGGTTGTGTTTGTCAGCTGAGAAATGGTGTATGTGTACAAAGTACGTACATCCAGTGCAGAAAGTTAAAACTTGAGTGTCATTATCAGCTAAGATGCAAATTTAAATGAAAGAAATTAGTATATGTATCTCATGATGTCATCATCATCATCATCATCATCTTAATGATGATGGGGTGGCAGAGTAGCCTAATGGTTAAAGCATCCACTCGTCTTGCTGAAGACTGGGGTTTGATTCCCCACGTGGGTACAATGTACGAAGCCCATTTCTGGTGTCCCCCACTGTAATATTGCTGGAATATTGATAAAAGCGGCGGCGTACTCACTCACTAACTCATGATAATATGGGTTAATACCCCTTTGATGTGGCATCATGCATTTGTCTCAGTTACAGTTACTGTCTTGTTTATCT